CAAGTTCTCATCTGTAAAATGCGTCCAATATCACCTTCCCTGCCTTTGACACATGCTCATGTTGAGGATAAATGAGTCCAGAAACATCTTTGACAAAGACACGATGTTATATAAATACATGTCATTGTGTATTCATGATTTGTCTGGGGCTTGTAGTAGTTCAGACTGGTAAAGAATCTGCCTATAATGCAGGAGACTTGGGTTTTATCCCCGGGTTGGGAAGATCCCCTGGAGGAGGACATGGCAACCCACTCCAGTATTCTTGCTTGGAGAATCCCATGGAGAGAGGCACGTGGTGGCGTACAGGTCATGGGGTCACAAAGAGTCAGACATGACTGAGCAGCTAACACTTTCACTTTCACTATATGCTAATAACTATGTTACAGAAAAATATTAGGCTCAGCAGAACTTCTTAATCTCCAAAATACAGAGTTATAGATAAAAGAATCTAAGTCTTTGATTTCTTAAATTTTTATACCAGAGATGCTAAAAAATTTGTAGATGCTGGAAGGTATTGATTGGCTCACTCCAAATGCTAAGAAAACCCATTCCTCTAGTAGAGGCATTGAGTCTTTACCATCTTAAACCTTAGGAAAAATACTAGCAAATAAAACCAAGTAGGGCTGTTGCTCTATTTTTTCTCACTTTCTGTTCTTTGTTGATGAAAGGTGGTATTGGCTTAGAAGTTCTCCTTTGCAATAGTTGTAGCTACAAAAGAAATTTTCTGAGTGCTTGTTCTTTAATCATGAAAATTGGGCATTGAAATGTTGGTGCACACAGGCAAAGGTCAGAATTCGCTATGCCCATGCCCTGCACTTGCGTTCTGCTACGTCTTACTTCTAGTAAACAAATTTCCTCACCAGGGATGGCCTCATTTTTTAAAAATCACCTCTGGTTGATTTTATTTGGTTTTACACTCTGGGAATACAGCTAATCCTGTTGTTTATTTTTTTCTCCCAAACAAGAGCAGAGTTATAAATAGGACAAAAAAATAACTGCACACGTATGAGTGTGTGTGTGTGTGTGTGTGTGGTGTCTGTGTGCGTGTTTTGCGTCTCTTCTCATTTTTGGATCTGAAGTGTTAGCAGAAAATGACTTCTTTAGGAAAGTCATCATTTTCTACTGAGCAGCCTATGAGCCAACTCCCATGGAAGTGGTTTTAAGCTGAGAGCCAAGAAAGTAGTCACAGAAAACACCAGTATACATCCCAAATCATCACCACGGAGACAGGAGAGCCTCCCTTGGCAGAGACACGTGGGCTGTCTTTACAGACACTGTTAACACTCCTACCAGGACTAGAGAAATGCCCTCCTTTAATTTGGAAAAAAAAAAGTGTAAAGATCCATTTCAAAATTGTATTAAATAAATAAACCTTGAGGAATAAGCCTTCTGTTTGGGCAAGACTTCAGCAGTCACTTGTGTCTGCTGTTCCCTTCTCACCCCTCATCCCCCAGCTGGGGACCTCCTCTCTGCCATTACAGATTCCCAGGCTCCTTCATGCCTGGGTGGACTTCACTTCTTCTATGAAGCCAACTTTTCTGGAAGACTCTACCCGCCCCCCCCCATGGTTTCCTAAAGAAAGCATGGATTCCTCAAGAAGTATGCTTTTCCCTGTAGATGGAGCATTACTAGTGAGAAACAGGCTGCTTTGGAATCTTAACAGACTGTAGACTGTCCCCAGAAAAAGGATCGTAGGCCTACAGTACTGTATTATCCTGCAGACACTTTCTGCAGACCATGGACTCTCAGCGTTCTCAACCAGGGACCTCCTAGGGGTCTGAAGCCCCAGGTTCCTTCTTGTGGGGAAAAGAATGTGGACTTTGGGATCCCAAACCCTCAAGTTCAAATGTGACTCTATCTTTTATTCTCCTATCATCTTTAGAAATACACTTAACCATCTGAACCTCTTTTTCTTCCAATAAATGAAGACAGTTGTAGCTACCCAAAGAGTTGGTATGAGGTTTTAGTGAATTTAAGTATGTGAAAGCTCCAAGCACAGTGCCAGGCATACCGTAGGCATTCAATAAAATGTGTATATTCTTGTCCCCTTGGAGGGGAGCAATTTTTTTTTTTTTTTTTTGCCATGAAGGAGATGAACTGTTTCTTTATCTATTCAAGAAGCTTGTATTGAAATGCATGTTTTCTAGGTTCCACAACGCTACATAAGTTCCCACAATTTTATCATTCCAGACAGTTCCTGTTTGGGATGTCAACATCTAGAAATCTAGAATAGTTCCAGTTAATTGACCCTGGCTGTTGTTAGGATCACGTCTCAGGATATATTGTCTCAGGATATTTGACCACATCAGCCAACCAGACTAAGTAACCTTCTGAACAGATAGCACTCTGCAGCCGGCTAATATTTGGATGTATTTCCATGCGTGTTTCAGTCTGTTACTAATTTTAAAGGCTTAACGTATTTCCCACCCAGGAACTCTGACAGTAAAATCCTACACAAGGCAGACTTTTAGGAGGAAGCTAAACTCGTTCAGGTCTCTTGTGACATGTTAATAGCACAAAACTAGGGAAATTAAGAATATTTAACTTCCATTAAGGCATTTTATATGAAAGTTGGGGTTGCTACTAAACAGTAGAATCATCTTCCTGCAAAATTTGCCTTGGGGTCTGAGTTGGAATTGTTCATTAAATTGGAAACACATTGTTTCCTGGAGACCCAGGAGGGTTTGTGAATATTGCCCAGTGAGAAGGATGGACTACACTAGTTGTGAATTTTAATTTGGCAGAACCTGTCTCACACAGGGCTTTGCTCAAAAAATATCTTAAAAGGAAACACAAATCAAGGCAAGGGAAGAAAAAAAAAAACAATGACAGAAAGAATATAAAAGAGGGAAGATTCTTTTGGACAAGAGGAGCATGGTGTTTGCCTCAAATTGTGTGTCTGTGTACTTGTGCACACATTCCCAGGTGGCACTAGTGATAATGCAAGAGACAGAGGTTCGATCCCTGGGTTGGGAAGATCCCCTGGAGGAGGACATGGCAACCCTCTCCAGTAGTCTTGCCTGGAGAATCCCATGGACAGAGGAGCTTGCGGGTTACAGTCCATAGAGCTGCACAGAGACGGACATAACTGAAGCGACTTAGCACACACGCACGCATGCCCAAATATTCATATACTTCAAGATCGGCAAGGTCAAAGAAGTATATATCCCAATCTTCTGCCCAACTCATTTTCACAATATTTTTAATTTCTACTTCACCACCACCAGTGACAGGAAACTCACTATTTCACAGGGCAAATCACCCAATAGTCTTTCAACCCTAGTGGTGAGAAATGTTTTCACGACATTGAATGAAGATCTTCCTCGTTATTCCCTCATTGGTTCTAGTTCTCTTCTCTAGAGCCACATAACACCTCTCTGATTTGTCTTCCATAGAATTCTGAGTAAGTATTTGAAGGCGTTAAGATAATCATCATAATGATGACAGTGGTAATTTTCACATATTGTTTCTTGAGCACTTCTTAGAAGTACTGTGCTAGGCATTTTATATCTTTAATCTCATTAATATCCATGAATTGATGAAATAGATACATTTCAAAAACTCTTTTTATAGATGAGAAAACAGGCTTAGAGAGTCAGTGCCTTGCCTTGGATAACAGAGCTAACAGGAAACAGAGGTAGGATTGCAAGCAGTCTTCCCTAAGTTCTTCTAGCTTCACATTAGTGACATGGGTGACCTTGGGTGATATCTGTAAGTGGATGTGAGTATTTTCTCAGAGGGAGGATTATGGAAACTATATTATACCACCTGCTGCACCCAGGAGAACTGTTTGTTATGTATTTGTATGCATAGCATCCTTTTTGTTTATTTTTCATTCACCACATCTTTCTTACAGTGGCATTTTAAAAAAAATTCCTACAGCAACATAACAGTATCAGGAGCCATGTGCATAGAAAATTACAGCCCTGAGCTCCATTATCCTCATCCAGTGATTTTTACAGTTGATCCCTCATAAGCTGAGGTATCTGAGTCACAAGTCAGAGGAATGACTTCAGCACCCAGCATCAGATCGCAGCTCCATAAATACGTGTAGAATGAATGAAGGCACAATGGCCTCCTGAAGAAGAAGGTTTACTGTCTAGAGCTGAGAGCAGTAGACATGTTGCTATTTATTTAAATCAGTTAAGTTTAGTCGCTAAGTCGTGTCTGACTCTGTGACCCCATGGACTGCAGCACGCCAGGCTTCCTTGTCCTTCACCATCTCCCGGAGTTTGCTCAAACTCATATCCATTGAGTCAATGATGCCGTCCAACCCTCTCATCCTCTGTCATCAATAATAACTACATTTTCCTTATTTTTTCAGGTTGGGGTTGCAGATATGTCACAGATTTGTATTTCTCTGTAGGTTGGATTCACTGTTGCAAATGCCTCAGGCTGCAGTTTCATTGAGAATAACTTTTTGGATGTTATACCTTTTCATTTTTAAACTTCATGAAGTACTAATCTCATAACTATTGAAATGTTAAGTCACAGGAACCTCTGACTTACCTGGGAAACAGGACCTCTTGTATAGGCTAAAAGGGATTCTTAAGAGTGTAAATCTGTTTTCTAAACTCTTTTCCTTGGGAACTTTGAGAAATTCACCTTTCTGGATAAGTAATTTAATAATGCCCTCACTGTTCTGCTTGTCCATTGACATGGTATGTTCCCACACCAATGGAACAGAAATAAAGCAAGGATAAAATATTAACTGTAAGGATTCTGGGGATTAGTGAAAGGGAAAGGGGAAAACAGATTTCTAGAATACACCTGAACTCTGCCTCCTATGACCATTACCCAATTATTTGAACAATAACTAATTGCTAACTTATCACTTGTCACCTGGTATAAAAATACTTTCTGTTAGGTCTTCTGATGTAGTTATAGGGGTTCAGTGGTATGTATGCAAATCATTAAAAAATATCTAACCTTTTAAGAAGTATGTGTTTTATACTGCTAATGGTGTTTGGTTTTGTGTTTCCTCTTCTAGGCTTGCTGGGATGGGAAACCTGCTCAAAGTCCTTACCAGGGAAATTGAAAACTACCCACATTTTTTCCTGGATTTTGAAAGTAAGTTCCCAAAATTAAAAGATTATGATGAGATCTCTTCACTTTCTTTATAGTTTGTTGATAGGGGAGTTATAAAGATTGTTAGGTAATACTTAAACCACATCCAAATGTCTCTCTGCATTTCTCTGAGTCTTCAAAGACCACTTCCTTCTTTCTTTTCATATATTATTTTTTTAAACTGTGGTGGATTCAAGTCAATGTATGGCAAAACCAATACAATATTGTAAAGTAAAATTAATTAATTAATTAAATTTTTTTTAAAAGAACATCTAATATGCTCATGCTTTTCTTTGATTTTAGAAGCAATCAGTTATTGTAGGCCTAACATCAATCATCATCATGTATTTTCCTAATAATTTTCATGAATTATTCTGTCATAATCCAAAGAAAATGGTATACATAGTAATTTACACAGATTAATATAAAACAAATATCACTAGATGTAAAAGAAAATTGATAGATACCAGACGTGAGACTTAGAGATTTTGTAGTTTTGAGTAATCTCTGTCTGTTCTTTGTGTATTATTTGATAATACTGAACTGTTTCAGAATTTTGAGATGCAGCTTTCATTTGAAAGGTTTTTTTTAAAATCAAAAACTTTAAATTAGGGAAAACGGCTTATGAATCATGACTGGATACATACAGAGATTCTTTCTTATATTGTTCATTGTTTGAATATGTTTATTAATGAGTGACACATTCATTTTAAGCAACTGATCTCATGTGTCTATACTTATTCTTGTGTTCTCCTCCTTTTGAATTGCAATTCCACAATACCAAACACAGTTAAATGTCCTTTGTCCCAGTAGTCACCATCTGTTGCAAACCTTAATCTGCTTTAAACTATAGTTTAAGCTATAGTTTAAAGTATTTTATTCATATTAAAAATAAGTTGAAACTTCCTTACATATATATTAAACCTTCTAATAGAGATTTTCTAAGTAAATGCTAGAATAACTTTCTAAGATACAGCAAACCAAACTACGAAAGCTCTCTGGAGGTATCTTTTTAAAATCTTTGTTATGCCTAAATACCTACTTAAAAAGGAAAAGTATTCCCAAAACTCATACATTCTGAAAAAAAATTTTAATGCAAATTATATTCAATTAAAGAGATCTCACTTGTGATTTAACTCAGTTTGTTGTTGTTCTTGTTATTTTGCTAAGTTTGGCTGGATTTGATTGGGTGTGGTTGGTTTTGGTTGAGTTTAGCTGGGTTTGTCTGGGTTTGGTTGTATTTGGCTGAGCTTGTCTGGGTTTGGCTGAACTTAATTTGGTTGGATTTAGTTGGTTTTGGCTGGGTTTGTTTGGGTTTGGTTGAGCTGTGCTGGGTTTGGTTCGGTTTAGTAAGGAGGGCAGCTGGGAACTCAAAGAATGGGTTTTCTTTTTTTTTACTGGTGTGACTTTTGCTGCTCTTCTATAATATACATATCTTTATTATTACAGGAAGATTTATTAATAATTTTAAAAATTGTTGCAGAATGAACTACCTATTATTCCAACACCCTAATTTTACTACTTGCATCTTTAATTGGTCCTTTCCATTTCTTCTCATATGTATTTTACACTGTTTCATTCAACATGCACAAAGGCCAAAATAGTGGTAAAACAGCGTTCGCGTCCAACTCATGAAAGGGAGTTTCATGCTTTACTCTTTTGGAAGTTCTAAATTCCACATGCGTGTGTGCATGCTTCTTACAATGTCACCCAGAATTCAGTGGCCCCATTTGCCTATGTAGCTGTTTTTGAACTTTGGCCTTCCCATGCTTCCACAAAGAATAATATTGAGTTCTTTGTCAAGTCTAATATGAAAACTTTAAAGGGATAAAAGTAAAATCTACAGGAATTTAAAGCAGTAGTTTTCAGCTGGTGTTCTCTGAAGCAAGATCTCAGGGCATCCCCTTCCCCACCAGCAGAGCAAAGGGGCCTCTCTTCCTCTCTCCTACAACCCAAGGACTCTGACCTACTCAGTCTAGTACTGTGGCCATTTTCTTAACATGGTATTTAAAGAAAGATCATGGTGGCCAAAGAAAACATTTAAATATTTTCAATTTTGGTAATGACTTATAGTATCAAAACTCCATTTATAGATATGCTATAATTTCTTCAGGAAGGCGAAGTATAGACTGGATTTCCATGTCTGGTGGCCTATTACTAGAACTAGAGTATTTAAGGAAAGTATAAAACTATAAATTTATAGACATGTATAAAATCCTGTTTATATCCCCCTTACTACCAAAGAGAAGATTAACATTATTTCACTGAGTCTGAGAAGATGAGTCACTGGGCTGAAGTCACACAGGGAATGATTGGGGAATTGAGGTGGGAGTACAGTTGTCTTTGGCCTTCTTCTTCCTTTTGCTTCCATTCCCTTAAGTGCTCATCATAGGCAGCTTCCAGGAAGTAATACAGCCATCATTTTCTGCCTAATTAGAGAGGGAGATGAGATGTCTCATGAAAAAAAAATTATTTTCATTTGTTGATTCTTCAAATCTTATTTCCTAAAGCTGGCTTTCAAGAAAGAAGGATGAGAGACTGGAAGGGTGGGGAAGATGGGCTGAGGTCATGATTTTTCCTTGAGTGTGTAGATTTCAGCTCATTATGGCAATGGTATGTTGAGTATGGTCATGAGCATCCATGTAAGCCTGGTGACATCAGGGAGATGGACCTAAACAAGAGCAGCCATTGCCTAATGAAGCCCCAGGCTGGTGTGGAGGACAATATAGGCAGACAGTTCAAAGACAAAATAAAATAAGGGGCTTAGAAGAGGCATAGTGTGACCTGGGAATAGAGGGAGAAGCTTCTAGTTTCAAGAAATGGATGATCTCAGGAGGAATTAGAAAAGTTTTCTTGCAAAGGTGGCATTTGGAATGGACTTAATGCATATTTTTTTCCGAAGACCTAGAAGACCTGGGTTCATTCTCTGGATTGGGAAGGTCCCCTGGAGAAGGGAAAGGCTACCCACTCCAGCATTCTTGCCTGGGGAATTCCATGGACAGAGATGCCTGGTGGGCTACATACAGTCCGTGGGCTCCCAAAGATCGGACATGAATGAGCGACTAACACCTTCACTTTCGGAAGACTTTTCCAAAGAGAATAGTTGAAATCCCCGAAGGAAAACTACAGAAGACAAGAGCTGAGTGGATGACAACTTCAGGCATGCTTGTGTTTAAAGGGAGCTTGAGTAGGAGAGAGGCTACATTGAGGGAGAAGCAGGGCAACTTAATTGAGATTCCTGATGGCAGGGCTTGGGCCCCACCCAGTTTGGTGACCCAGCCATCAGCTTGTGTTGAGCTAAGAGACCAAATGAGCCCAAGTAACAGATGCTGGCCATGTGAAGAAACAGAATAGAACAGGCTAGATCAGGCAGCCAGGAGACACAAACTTTCAAGAAGGAGGGAATGTAAATAGATTCAGATGCTGAGAGTAGTCAAGAAAGCTTGTAAAGGGGATGATGAGTTGGGCAGTTAGCTGCCTAACAGATTCAGGATTTATTGCTTTAAATACAGAGGTTGGATTGCAAAGAGTTAATGGGGGAGTCAGCAGTCAAGGGAGGAAGGCAAGCTGAACAGCCTGTAGCAACAGCTTAAATGCATGTGGCACCTCGGCTTCGAGTGCTGGATATTCTTTTTGAAGTCAGTGATGGAATATAATTGAACTGGGTCAAATAGATATAATTAAGCTGGGTCAAAATTTAATACAAAATTAGACACATCTGTCCTTAGGTTTTCCAGTTGTGTGGATCTGATTTAAATTTGTTTGACCTTTGTAGTGGGTTCTACAGTCTATGCTCGTATTTCTACACAGTCACTTACCGTCTTTTTATTGTTGTTTTTTCATCCCATGACTATTTTCTTTCCGTGAACAGAAATGTTATAATTTGATGAAGTGTGATTCATCATTTTCTTCCTTTTTCTCTAAGTGCATTGTGTATCTTCTTTAAGAAATCATGCCTATTCCATGGTTATAAACATACTCAACAGCATTTCCCTATGAAAGCTTTAGAATTTTAAGCTTTACATTTAAGTCAATGATCAATCTTAGCAAGTTTTTGCATATGTTGTGAAAGAGGTATTGGATTTATTTCTTTTTTCATGTGATACAAAATTATTTTAGCACAGGCGGATTGCTTTAATGCTCAATCATAAATTTGTTATTTATAATATATGTGGGGCTACTTAGGGACCTTTTATTCTCTCTCATTGCTTCTTGATCCATTTCACCAATTAATACCAAAACATAGCAACTAATAAGTTATGAAATCAGGAAAAGCAAGTGTTTCAACTTTGTTCTTTCTCAAGATATTCTGACTATTCTAGCACCTTTACTTTTCTATATAATTTTATGTATCCTTCAAAACTAGCTTTTAATGTCCACAAAAAATCTTGCTGGGATACTGATTATAATTATGTAAATCAATAAATCAGTTTGGAGGTAATTGACTTCTAGGCAATATTAATTTGTCCCACCTATGCATATAGTCTATCTTTCTGTTTGTTTAGATATTTTTTAACTTAGTTTTATAGTTTTTAGAAATCTGGCATATCTTTTGTTAAATCTACCTTTAATCATGTCATATTTTGACCATAACAGTTTTCTTACCCTTAGTATTTGCAGCAGTATGTATTTCCCTATTTTGTCTACCTTTCTTTATAGCGTGTTTTTTATAAACAATATGTAGTTGCCCCAAGCTTTTTTATCCAAGCTGATAATATCAACCTTTTAATTGGTATGTCTAGTCCATTTACTTTTAATTACTGTATGTGCATTTAATTAACGTTTGTATTTGTGTATCTTGGTGTCGTTTCCATTCGTTATTTTTTTCCTCTTAGTTTCTCAGTGTCTTTCTGTCTTTTAAGTAAACCAAATAATTTTTAGTACTCTTTTGTGTCCTTTCTGCTGACTTTTTAGTTGTGCTTCTTGGTTCTTATGTTAGAGATTATTATATACATCTTTAACTTACTGCCATCTGTCTTCAAAATGCAGTGTTCACTTCATGA